AGATCACATGGTAAGCACTGGAGTGTGAGAGGCTTTGGGTTATTGTTATATTTTCAGATGTCTTTTATTCATCAACTCTGCATTTCCTTGATTGTTAATTGACCACGTATATAAAGCTATAATATACATTCATTTGGATGTTTCAATTTGATTCAAGTCCTACTAACAGGAATAGGCTATCAATTATTCTAACCTGTGTGCTGCTGCTGGCAGAAACTGTAGGCTTGAGAGAGAAAAGGTACAAAAATAGATTTTTCCTTAAAAGAAAAAAAAAATTGGAAGCTATATTTTAAGGAGAACAGAGAAAATTCAGTGGTTTCTAGCATTTTTCAGTGGGCTGGTTTCCAAAGCAAAAAAACCCAAAACAAAACAACCTAAAACCCTACTAATCAAGATTTTCTCTTCTAAGCGGTGAATTGTGGTGCTGATTTTTTTTTTTTTTTTTTTTTTTCCATGAACACAGTACATGAACACTGAGGATTGCAATGGCATCTTCAAATTAAACTCATGGGTAACCGATCAGCTACCTGGAAATAATGTGGTGTTCAGCTTTGAGAAATAGCCTCTACATCTTCCATAATTTGGGAATCTGAAACAAAAAAATAATTTTACATGCTAATATAATTGATGCCTGATGGATGAACATGCTCTGCAAGGCTTAATGTTTCCAGTAGAATTAAGGGAATACTTCCTGGCTTAGTTTTCTTTAGAGAGGCGAATAATGACCGTTAGAGGGCAGCTTAAGACTTGAACTGGAATGTACTGCTAACATGTTAATGCAGTGCTTAAAATAGTTGAGGAAAACCTGCAGACCAGAAAACGTTAGGGAAGCTTTGTAACTGGTGAACATGGTACTAAATACTCAGAATACAGGGACTAGGGAGTTAGGGGGAAAAGCACACAGATTTCATTGGCTTCAGTCTGAACTCAAAGCCAACTTTAGAAATGTTTACAGATGTTTGTTTGTTAGATGTTACATAAGTGTCACTGGGTTTTTGCACTCTGCACCCTGACCTATTGGCTGTGCAGGCATCGATTTGTCTAGCTGGGATTAACATTGCTAGTTCTGCATTATAACACCAGGCCTAACATGGCTGGCATATGTGAATGCCTCTCACATAGGAAGCCCTCCTACAGCCAGCAGTGCTGGCTTTTTCACTGCGGTACAGTTCTAGATCCCATCAGGCTCTCTCTGTTCTTGTGGTGCTATGCCCAAAGTGCTAAACCGTCTGGAAGCCAGAAACCTGGGAAGCTATGCTGAAGCTGTCAAGCTGCTTGACCCACTGGTCACTCTGTTCAGGACTGTTTGGATGTCTCCTCATAGCGATACCTGGTGTTCAGGGTCTGAGGATGCAGTGGTGAAATTGTAAAACTAGTGGTGCACAGCTGGTCTGGCTTCAGCCCAGGTTGCCAATGAAAAGTGGCTTATTACTGGGTCAGAGAAAGTGCTGGGAGTGGTACAGCTGTCTGCTCTGCTGTCATAGCTAGTAACCCTGCCTGGAGCCTGCGTACCTGCTGTGGGACAGGCAAACCATGGGTAGTTGAGAGATGAATGGAGTTCAGCAGTAAGCTTACAAACCTGCCTACTTCTCCCTGCTGGTTAATCCTAATATGATATCAGGTCATGCTTGTGAAGGCCAATAGATAGGGCTCTACTGATTTCATTCAGGGATTGAATTTCACTTCTAAATAAGCATGTATAAAATGTGCAATTATTTGATCAAACAGTTTCTCCTTTATTTTTCAGCCAAGCCTTCAGGGCAGATTTCAGGCTTTGTATTATAACAGCTACTGATAAGGTAAATGCTCCAAACAGTTCAGGTAGACATGATGAACTACTGTGGGAAAAGGCAGACAATTTTCTCACTAGAGTAAATCCAATCAAAATCTTTTAGATAGCACAGGAAACAAATGCACAGCTTAAAAACAGATCCTGAATTTATTTGTGAATATTGTTAAAATTATGGGCAGGAGAATTTTCTGATTTTACTAAGTTCATTGACTTCCTTATGTATTCTTCAACTAATTAGAGCTTTCATTTATATAGATTTGTTTCTTCAACTGAAGAAGCAAGTGCTAATTTCTAAGGCCAGATACCTTTTTATCTAGAACATGAAATGGTAGTGATGAATAAAGTTTTCTCTTCCTCTTTTTTTATACTTGTCTTCTGGACCTCTCCACTAATTACAGGGAAAACAAACTACAGCCTGCCTGTTATCCCACCATCTTAGCAACTAGAATACAGTGAGCAAATGAGAGGGTATTTTTTTATCTCTGTACCTTTTATGCCAGTGATCAGAGCTATTTAGACCTGGGTGACAGAATTTAACCTCATCCAGGAAAAGGATTTTGACAGTGTCTTCATTCCCAAAGGCTACTAGAGAATATACCCATCTGAGTTAGAAAACTCCCTGATGCCATTGGACTCTCCACCATTTAGGTAATGAAAGATAAGTATCAAACAGTCACCAAAATTGAAAAATCCTGAAAGTTTTATTGATCAAATAAGAGACAAAATGAACAGGAAAACAGTCTTCTCCCTGTCACTGTGATGTCTGTTAAGACCGTTACATCCATAAAAATGATATGTGATAAAGCTTTCTCTAGGCACAAGAGTTAAGTGCAATGTAGCTACAATGTTTTCTGGTTTTGTTTTTTAGAGACCCCTTAAACCTTTTTTCCAGAATGTCAGTTTTGTGATTAAATGGAAACATATTTGCATATTTCCATAATTTACACAAAGGTGTTTTAGATGGTCATCTATTTTTACCTTTGAATATTGTATCACTTAAAATACAAAAAAAATACCCACCAAGATTTAATTAATTGACTTTTATTTATTTTTTTTTTACAAGTAAGAAATGAGAAAAGGTGTAACAGAAACTGAAGTCAGATCTGTTAAAGAAGAAGCACAAGTTATTCTGGGGAAAACACGATTCCAGCTTTGCTAGGGTCTCTGTTTTCTTTTTGCAATGATCATCTCTTTCTTCTGCTGATTTTCCATTGAGAACCATATGCTGCAGAGGTTTTCGAAGTGCATGCATTCATACACTGGCACTGTTCCACATAGACGTAGTTATAATTTATGCTTGTTTCATTTTGGCAAGTCAGGGTCACCTCTCTTGTTTGGCTGCTGGACTCCTGGCAGCAACTACACTCATGTTGCATCTGGCTTGCTTCAAGAGAATACCTGTGTTCCACAAGGAAAAGAAAATATATCTCCTCATTAAAAACTGAGAAAGAGAAAGCCCCTAGTGACTTTCGTTCTGGGGTTTGTTGGAGGTTTTGGGGGTGGTGGTTTTTGGGGGTTTTTTTTACATCCTCTTTTCCTCCCTCCCACACACAATTATGAATGGGATTTTATATACCTGTCTCTTCAATAGTGAAACTGTTCTTGCTTCCATTGAGTCTGATTGCACTCACTGGAATCATATAAACACATTAACTTTGTTGCTATTGTGTAATCATAGAATCATGTAGGTTGGAAAAGACCCTTAAGATCGTTGAGTCCAACACTGCCAAGTCCACGACTAAACCATGTCCCTAAGCGCCATGTCTACACGTCTTTTAAATACCTCCAGGGATGGGGACTCAACCACTTC